TTTGTAATCCCAAGAAAAATGTAAGCTCTCCCATCATGGACATCTTAAATTCACCTTGCATAGTCTTAGCAAATTCTTCACATAGAGAGAGATTAGTAGAACCAAAAACAATGTCATCCACATAAACTTGAACATACATTGTATCTTTCTTAAATTTCTTCATAAACAATGTGTTGTTTAATTTATCTTAAGTAAAAAAGAGTTGCGCCTTAACTATCAGCTATAGCTTTTGGCCTAGTGGTAAGCGCTCGATCCAACAATTATCATTATGCAATAATCAATTATTTTAGAGTCACTTCTTTGTAATAATCGACTATTCCAATAAATAATCAATTATAGTGTTCTTGACTGGTTTCTAGATTCACCAAGAACAAAATAATCAATTATCCATGAAAATAATTATTTCAATCAAAGAGTTCTATAAATACCAATTTCCAAACTCATAACATATCAATCTGAAATGCTTGCAAATTTGTGAAATCTCTTGCAAAAAAGACTCTTTAAAATTTTATGTTTTCTCTGTGAAAGAAACCTTTAATCTTTTATGGGTAATTTTAAGAAAGGGTTAAAGAATCATCATCATCCAACTAGAGAGAAATGCTAAGCTACTATGAATCTGATTCACCTCTTTTATTGATTATAAGGTGAATTTGTTCTATAACTCTCTTTACCATTGTTGTTGAGTAGGTTTCTTAGGATTAAAGATTTTGTAGTGAGTGACTACAAGAGACATTTCTTGGGGTTCAACAAATAGGTTTATCTTTAGGATTTTTGGAGTTTATTACATGTGCGTGTGATTGTAAAATTCTAAATCTAAAGATAGTGAAAAATCTCAATCAAATTGATTGGGGACTAGATGTAGGTCATAGTGGTATATGTCAATCCTCTCTATCTCTATACTATTTATTTGAGTTCTTGTTAACTTTGATTAAGTGTGTTAAATCTCTTATATTTGAATTTTGCATACCATATAGGATTTAACATATAATTTTTTCTTGAATATAGAAATCAATTTCAACATTTCATCATGCACTATCTAAATCAATAAAAGTTTTTGGAAAGATTTCAAAAAAGTTTTTGAAAATTAAAGATCCTAAGAATAAATTTTTTTAAATATCCAATTTACCTGTCTCTCTTGAATAAGGTCATATTTTTTATTAGAGATAACTTTAAAAACAACTTTCAAATCAAGAGACATATACTTGTTGACAGATTTCAACTTTAGGTTTGTAAAGCACCACAACTTATTTCCTTTTTGGACTCTTCTCTAGTTGTTATTCAACTTTCTACTTAGAAAATCATACATAATGCACAATCATTACAACTTAGCAACTTAATTCAAATTTTACTTATCCAACTTGAGACGACATACATATTACAACTTTAAATTATTTCATCATAAACAATATACAACTTCAATTGCTAAACAATTCCAACTCATCATTAAAAATCATCATTCATCATGATACATATATATATGTATACAACTTAAAGCATAAGTAAAGGTCACAACATATCCTCATAGATCACTTCTTTAATGTTTTTAGGAATTGGGTTTTCACTAAGCAACCCATGTTCTAGAGGGGTAGTCTTTCTCTAAGAGACTCCCTCGCTTAATGAACAAAAGTCACTAGAAGCACTTGCTTAGTGAGACCTTCCTCACAAAACGACCTCAAGAAATGAAATATTGGCAAAGACTTCAGCTCACTCAACCAAAATCCCTAGCTTAATGAGCTTAAAAACTCATACCTACTAGAGTCTTAAGCCTGTTCAACGATTTTTCACTGCTTAATAAGGATAAACCCACCCACAATTCAAAGATTGGGGCTTACTCAATGACCACAACCAACCCTAACCAAAGGGCCAAGCTCGCTCAACGACAATATGTTGCTCGATAGAGCTCCAAAGGTGTTCATCATAATAGCGCATTCTCGTTGAGTGACCAATACGTTGCTAAGCGAGAACAAGATACATAGGTTTTTGGCCTTCATTCCATGAAGGATCACTCTATGAGTAATGCCCCACTAAGCAAGAATGCTCTACAACTACATGATGGAGATACTCTCCAACCTCTTTCTAGTGCCAAAAATCCACATGTAAACCATGGATTTGGTTCTAATCAACTTTAAATTGAACTCACACAACATGCAACCATCTAGGAAAAGAAATTCAACAATAATTGGATTTTGGTCCAACAACCCCAAAATCCCACTTTCTACAACAACTTTAATCAATTCAAATTCAACTTAAATGCCACCGATGGATGAAATTAGCAACATTTACCACATGATTCAACTTATAGAATTAAACAACAAACTTTTCTTACCTTAATTTGTTTCTTGGAAGCAAGAAGTCAAAGAGAAAGGAAAGAATCATGAAATCCTCTAAGGTTGACTTCTTAACAGTTCAAGTTCCTCAAGGGTTGAATCCGCTCCAACAACTTCAACTCAACTTCAAGGGAGGATCCAAGGGCTCCTTGTGAAATCCTAAGAAGAAAATGTCTTCCTTTACTCTAGTACTTATCTATCTAAACTTCTCTCTAAAAGCTTTAAGAAATAAGCTTGTGAAGTTTTTGTTTCTAAAAATCCTATATACATCTCTCATTTATGGTCATACTTGACCTCAACTCACCTAACTCTAAACAATTTAACTCTTAAAGATTCCTTAATTCTTAGAGTTCTATAAAATAACTAAAATACAACTCAACAACTTAAAACGTTATAAATCATCATTCAACTTATAATCAACATATACATAAAAAGTACAATGTTACAATTACTTTATCATGTTGACTTTCATATAAAGAATAAAATTGTTTTTTTTATAAATATATTATGTTTCTTTTTTATAATTTAAAATGAAATTTATAATCAATCGAAAATAGTTTCTTTTAAATTTTAATATTATTATTTTCCTAAATAACTAATTATATGCTGAACAATATAATTTATAGACATGTCAACATTTTTTGTTTAACTTTGAATGACATGTTAATGGATGAACCAATATTACTTAATTATGAAAATTATGATATCAATTTTACAATAAAAAATTTTGAGACTAAAAATTATAAGGTCACAAAATTATAAGAACCAAAAGTAGAAGTAATAAATAAACTATAAAATACAAACTCAAGCTTTATTTTATTTATACAATTCAATTTTAAACTTTTAATTAAGTTTATTTTAAGTTGTCTAAACTCCTATTTTAAAATGTACCGACTACTGATGCAGAAGATTATCCTTAAATTTTAATTATGTTAATTCGTTATATTGACAATTATATATATATATATATATATATATATATATATACTTAAATTATAATAATAACTAAAAGATTTGAACTTAAGATTGTTTACATATTTATTATTTATCATCAATTATATATTAAGACAGATTAATATTCTTTCATGATAAAAATTATTAAACTTTATCTAAATCATTTAATATGTAACTACTTTAACTATATGATATGGATAGTTTTTCATATTTTTTTTTTTGAAAATGAATTATACTAAATTAAAATATAATATATATTACTAATAAATGAGATTAACTCATTTTTTATACACCTTTTTGAAAACAATTTTATCTCTATATATTGGTACTTCTCAAATCATTCTTTTACTCTCCACTATCTTTTAAAAATGACTTAAATATGTTCAAACTACTTTCAATTAGGTCAGTTTTTAGATTATTACTTATTAATTTTTTTAAATACTTGACTATTTTTTTTTCAATTTAGTATCTAACATTAGTCCTCCTCCGTTAAGTAATGAAGTGGCTGACAAACTGTCACATCATCATGCAACAGTGTCTGCCATGTCATCTAAAGGACTGTCACATGGACATTTAGATGACGTGACAGACATTGTTGGTGATGATGTGGCAGTCCATCAATCACGTCATCACTTAACAGAGGGAGACTAACGTCAAGTACTAAATTGGAAAAAAAAATAGTCAGGTATTTAAAACAAAAAATAATAAATTAATAGGTCTTAATCTGAAAAACAGCCTAATTGAAGGTAGTTTGAACATATTTAAGCCACACTTGGAGATTTTTGCATTGTATTCATCTTCACTTTTCTCTACTTCTTCATTGTCCACTCACTATCTTTGTTGAAATTTTTGGTCCATTTTTTATGACAAACCAAAGTTTGAAGTCGAAGGATTGTATGAATATCTGCATACGCTCCTTCCACTCAATGTAATTTATGCCATCGAAATATGGTGGCTTCAAAATAGGTTGTCCTTCAGTGATGATTTTCAGATTACTACCTCCAATTAGGTTTATTTTCATATTATTACTTAGATCGATTTTCAGATTACTACCTATTAAAAATAAATTTTGTTTTAAATACTTGACTATTTTTTTTTCTTCAATTTAATACCTATGTTGGTCCCTCTCTATTTAAGTGATGACATAGTAAACGGACTGTCACGTCATTACTCAACATACCACACCATCTAAATGTTCACTTGACAGTCTTTTAAATGATGTGGCAGATACTGTTGGATGATGACGTAGCAGTTCGTCAGCCACATTATCACTTAAGGAAAGGAGATTAACATCAGGTATTAACATAAAAAAATAATAATAAGATATTTTAAAAAAAAATTAATAGATAATAATCTAAAAATCAACCTAATTAAATATAATTTGAACATATTTAAATCTTTAAAAAAAAATTATAATCATAATTATCTAAAAACTGCCCAGACTCTAATTATTCACAACTTACTTTTACTTTATTTATATTTTTAAAAAAATTATCCAAAGTCACGAATTAGTGCTAATTTAAAAATATGAGGTGAAAAAAAAAATGAAATTCTTCGAGAAACTACTCAAAATAAGAATTTATATTTCTTCATTTGGCCTTATAAGAACGAGCGAACTCTAGAATATGAATAAATAAGAAACGAGAAAGAAAGTCTGAAATCCCACACGCACTTTTCATCGGCCTTTATAGCCTTTGAAGTTCGCTCCACGATTCCTCACAGAAGATAAAAAGAGAGAGAGAGAGAGAGAGTTTCGTTCATAACAGAAACCACAATGGCGTCAATGAATTTATTCTCCGCCGTTTCCGCCACCTTTGACGGCCGAACTCCGAGCACCTATCTCCCCCGGCGGCGACCAATCTCCGTCCCTTTCGCCGCCTCTTCGCCGGAATCTGCTCCCGAAATAGAGCTCGAGTTCATCGCGGTACCATTTAATTATTTAATTAATCATATTCGTATATATGATCGATAATTGATATTCGACCTAGCTTAAATTAAATTGAATTAAATTGGAGTTATTGTATAATATATAGTTTGTTGGAATATGGAATGAAGAATGTGAAATTGTTGTTGCAGCCGAAAGCGGAGAGTGAGGTGGAGAAAGCGAAAGCAATGAGCGGAGAGAAGCTGTTGAGGAACATCATGTTGGATAACAAGATCGAGCTTTATGCCACATATGTACGTTTCAATCAACTACAGCCACTAACATTTTTGCACCACATTCTCAATTGCTATGTCTTTTTTTTTTTTTTTTTTTTTTTAAATAGTTATTTACTAACACAAAAACAAAACACTTCTTGCATGCATTAAAAAAATCAAATTAATGAGTAGTTTATGAGTCGTTATTTATGAACTGTTACGTAATAGAATAAAATAAAAAAAAATAATAGGAAGTTAATTGTATAATATAATTATTTATGAACTGTTAATTAAGTAATAAAATATTCATGTAATAGTGAAGACCAAATATAGCTATTAAAAGAAGGATCATCTTTATATAATGGTATAATTAAATTATATAGCTTAAGAAGTGCTCTGGAAATATGATAAGAAAAACTATTTAACAAAAAAAAAAGTTATTTAATATTTATTTTTGAGTAATTAAATGTTTTTAATTTGTATTTTTAAAAGGAGAATGCATAGATGCAATTTTAAAGAATTCTAATTTTGGAAAAGAACAACTTTGTTTTATTGCTTATCTCTTCACAAATATATATATATATATATAGCTAGAGAGCAGAATTTTAAATCCTTTTAAATTTTTTTTATTTATAAGCAGAATTTAGTTTAGATTCTTTAGAATCAAGTAGATTTGATTAAAAAAAAAAAATCCGTCTTTGTCTGGTTAGTC